TCAGGCGATTGGTTGGTGTCGCTAGAGTTGAGCGATGCACCACTCTTGCAGCCAGTATCTCAGATTCCCTTTAGTGGGCATGTTTACGAGTATACCGCCCTACCTTTTTTGTTTGTGCATGGCACTGTTTGTCTTCACCAGGGTGTGTTTAGACAGGTGACCCAGCTGCTCCACCGGTCGTCGGTTTATCTGAACCCATACCTCAACGACTGGTTAGGGCACAACTGAGACAGGCAGGTGTCAGCAGAGCATGTGCGTTTGATGCAAACGCTCCTCCACGAGTTGGGCATTTTAATAAATATAATTTAACACCATACCGTTTCGCAACCTAGTTTTTTCTGGGTATGCAGTTCGAAACAGAACAAGGGCTTCTCAGGCGCCGTGCGACTTCTTTGTGGAGCTCGACAGCCGACTCCGCTCGATGGGAACGGCTTCTATACACAAACTGATGCGCCTTATTGGCAGTATGACTTCAATTTGCCATCTAGTTTCCTCAGCAGCTCTCCTTCCTCGTCCGATTCAGAGGTGCTTGTTGGGCAGCTAGGCCCACATGCGGAACCTGGCGTTCAGGGTTCACTTGTCGGACCAAATCCTAGCGGCCCTCCCTTAGTGGAAGCATGCTCGGAACTTGGAGAAGAGAGAGCCCCAAGATCCGACAACTCATTACGAATGCGTCGCTCCAAGGCTGGGGCAGCCATCTGATCGACCTTCTAGTTCAAATGACGTGGCCGACCATGTATGCGGGCCGCCACATCTATTGGTTGGAGTTGTAGACTGTCCTACTGTCTCTGAAATATTTTCAGAAGGTTGTACACCACCACAGAGTCCTGCTTCAGACAGACAACACCTCAGTAGTGTCCCACAGCAAAGAGGGTAGACATGTTTCCCCACGTGTTAAAGCTAGCGGAGGCTGTCAATAAACTCGCAGGATTCCGGAGATCTCAAAATGTCTTCATTAACTATTACCTGAGAGACCTCCAATCGTTGGAGAAGGGTCTCTACAGGTTGGGACCAGTGGTGACGGGTTAGACAGTGTACGTGGACCTACATTTTGTAGCCCGCACCACCGTCTTCAGCCGAATCCAGCTTCCTTTTGCTTGACGCTGCTAGCTTTGATCTGTGCTATTGAACACAACCAATACATTGTTTTAATGCTATGTTTGGGCCCGATTTGATCGTTCAGGCAGCCAGCTTCAGTAATCTCCCTAAAGTGGGGGGGTTACTCTCAGGCACCCTGAAGAGTCACCTGTTTAGTTGTATCCCAGGACAAGACTCCTTGTTGGCGAGTAATTTTTGATTTCACCTTCCTGCCTTTTTGTGTCGAAAAATGTACATTTCAGCCGTCATAGCTTTCCCACCTCCGGTGAGCGTGCTACTCTGCCTAACGAGTAATAAATGCAATTTATTATTTCCACGAATTTTCTGGTAGGTATGATTAGGTAAACAAACTGGTTTGTACAATCCTAATAATTTAGAATTGCGGTATGGTCTATGCTGAAACATGTGGCTGTAAGCAAGGTCAAAACATACTTCTCAAAAACACTACCGGTAGATCTAAAAATAAAAATGACAACAAATGTGATGTCAAATAATAATAAATACATTTTTTATTGACATGGTCGTACAAACAGATACAGAATTAAAAATCTCAAAAAATAATCATTCATTCACATTGTTTAATAACTTAAACCCTATCATCTTCGTTTCAGTGTGCTCCTATGGTGCTGCATTACAGACTTAAACCAAGATACCATTAAATGTGTTTATATACTGTACATTGCTTGATAGAAAGAAAGACACCAGCAACTTTTAAATGCAATATTAGCGAACTTTCTAAAGATTGTTTTTTGCCCATTTTGAGTATATAGAAGAGGGGAAAGTATATCCCATGAGTTCCCTAAAGCATGCACTATTCAGTAAGCTTTGAAACAGGATGTAATTTTATAACCTCATAGTTGCTGTCGACATAGGAAGTAAAGTAAGCAAATAACACCGAATAAACGGCAAGGTAAAGACTATGTCTAATTATAGTAAATACGTACTGCGTGCGTGACTCGAACCGGCGCTCGCGTACGGCACCTAATCGCCTAGCTTCACGCCACTACACGTCTTCCCCTCGGCCACCGGGCATCCCCAAAAAAGGATGCTTAATAACCGAGCTTATTACGTGCAGAGAACATGAAACCCGTCCACGCGATACGCGCCACACAGCATGGCCAGAATGCGGCAAAGGCCTTCAGATCTGGCTGTAGTAGGATGGTGAAAGTAATGGTACAGCATTTTAACAGTGAATAAGTACTGAGAAATAATTTTTAAACTCATAGTTGCTGTCGACATAGGAAGTAAAGTAAGCAAATAACACCGAATAAACGGCAAGGTAAAGACTATGTCTAATTATAGTAAATACGTACTGCGT